GCCCAGGAGCGAGCATGGCGCGCGGGCGGTCGTTGGCCGGGTAAGTGGGGGGAGGGGCTGCCCCCCGCCGCGCCCCGCCGCCCCCCCGCCGCCCCTCCGCGTGGCCCCGCCGCCGAGGGAAGCCAGCCGAGGGGGCGCCGGCGCACGCCCCGCTGGCCCCGCGGCTCGGAGGAGGCCGCCGCCGCCGCGGCCCCCTGAGGGGCGGGAGGGCTTCAACACCTCCTCAGATCCCCCTCGGTAGCCGCCTGTGAGGAGGAGGCACTCGCGCCTGGCATCGCTTTCTCGGGCCTCAAGCGCCCTCGGCGCGGAGGAAGCGGGAAAAAAAGAGAGACGCGCGTTTCCCTGAGCGTGTGCAGAGTTTCTCCCCTTCCCCTCCCCTCCCAAGTGCTCACGTGCACTTGGGGGATTTGCGGGAGGACTTGGAGCTCCGAAAGCGTCGCCTCCCTGCCGAAGCAGCCTTTTCCTCCGAGCCGTGGAGACGGGAGGGCAGAGGCCAGGCATTCAGCCCCCAGCCCCGGCTCCAGGGAGGACGAGCTCGCCGGGGTTTTGATGCCAGGCCTTCCCGGAGCGGGGCAGAGCAGCACGGGGCCTGCAGCCGAAACAGAAAGCGCCGTGGATGAGAAGCCGCCGTGAAAGGCGCAGTCCTGTGCCCGGCTTTGACAGGACGAAAGTCCTACAACTCCCAGCATTCCATGCCGGCTGGGGAATGCTGGGAGTGGCCGGACTTCTGTGTCTGAACACGCCTAGGGTTGCCCCCCAAGTATTGGTTACCTCACCAACAGGAATTAAAACAACAGGGTTAAAAGGGCTGGGAAAGTGGCCTCTCTGAGACAGTTCTTCATACACTGTGAGAGTCATTCTGAATTCTTTAGAATTAGCTATATAAATAGCAGGTAAAATGTTTGCTTTGTGGGTGCAGTAGCAATATTTCTAGGTTGAGATGTTTGCACAGTACTAAAAGCAGCTAACTACCGCTGCACTGAAACATGGCATTTCCAGAGTTCCTGCTGGACTAGAAGGTTTTGTGTATCCCTTTTAGGTAAAGGGATGGTGTATTTTGTCAGAAGCTGCATATTTATTTTTGTGTGAGAAATAGTGCTAGTAATCTTCCCATCTCCACGAAAAGAGTAAACGTTAATTTTATCTCCTTTGAGGTTTGCATGCTAGTTTCTGATCTGATGCAGTAACTTCTCATGTGTGGAAATTCAATACTTCTGTTCAAAGGAAATGTTGTATCTGTATTTCTCCTATTTCTTTTCCCCCACTTTTCCCATATTGTACTTTAAGGGCTGTTGTTTCCATGCACATTCATGACTTGCTGTTTGCAAGTTCCTGTGATGTCTTGTGAAAGTAAAGGGGTCATCCTGGCCCCAGTGGTTTTCAGCTGAGTCTCCCCTCTACCAGATGCACAGTAACCATGTACTGAGGACCTCGATTATGTGTGCAGATGTAAACGAAACCTCTCTGCTGTCTTTGTGTGGTTTCGATCTTCTTTGGTAGTGCAGGTGCTTAGTTGCTCTTGGGCTTTTTGCATAATGTGGCATTAAGTGAGGCACCAATCATGAGTGGGTATTTTGCTCCCTCCCTCCCTCGCCTTGTTCCTTGAAGTGGTCTCCCAGGGGACACCACAAGGAGGAATGAGTCTTTCTTCTCTGACAGTCCCTCTTGTGAATCAGGGATTGTTCACTGCGGCTGTCAGAGAATCCCCGTTGCACAAGAAAGACCTGTGCTCTATAAGACAATGTGGATGTTGAGGGAGGCTTTCCAAGGATGAGATGAGGAGCCTCTCCACTGCGAAGCTCCTTTCCTGGCATGAGAGGGCTCCTCTTGAGTTCTGGGCAAGGGCTGTCCACTCTTCCTGAGGGGCACACACCACCTTAGCAAGAAGGGGCAGCTCCATGCCATCATTGCTGGCAGCGTGTGGTCTGCTCAAGCCATGGACAAAGAGGCCCTGCTCTGTACTGCCGCAAGTGAGTGCAAAGCTTCTGACAGCCGCCCCAAGTGTCCCTTATGCACTTTGGAGGCAGATGACAAGCAGCTGCCACGCACGCCCTGCTGAAAAGAGTGGGGTAGGATCTGTGCTGCTCTTGCCAAGAGGGCCGTTGGCTGCTGGGGTGCCCCACAGTGGATCATGTCATTCAGGGTCAGACGCCGTGACACCCCACCATGAGTGACGTTGACCTTAGAGCAGTCCACGCCTCCTGATCCGGCGTGTGTTTGAATGGCATGATGGCCCACCTAAAATAAGAAACCATGTGGGGTTTGCATGCTGTCTGATTGTGGTCATGAATGATGAATACCCAAAGGACATACGTGCTTGCTTCTGGTGAGCTTGTGGACACACACTGGCAATTTTGAAGAAGTGGCATGTGCCCTGCCACAAAATTGCATGGTGATGGGGCTATTCACAGAGTGAACAAGCATAAACATTTGTCGACTTCACTCGAAAATGTTAAATTGCAGTATAAATATAAACTCCCATTTGAGGGAGCAAACACCCAGTAAAGGTCCCTTTTGCTTAGGGTAGGGGAATTGCTGCAGAAGCACTTGCTCCACAGCTGTTCATATACTCGAGGACGGCACTCGCTCACTCGCGGAAGCAGGGAGTCCTCCCTTGCTCACCTGCTCCCACACCTGCACTCTTGAGAACAGCAAGGAAAGTGGTTTACTTGACTTCCTGGATGACTGACTGTGGTAAAAGCTGAGCACACTGCAATTAAAAGTTCAGCACTCACCTCGGGAGTTGCTGATGTCACCACCAAACCAGCATTAGAATAAGAGCTGCTGCATTACCAGCTCTCTGAGAGCACTGATATGGTTGCCGGGCATATTTCTCCTGGTCTTTCAGTGAGAAATTGTTAGAAGACTGGGAAACTTAAGGATTTAGTGTGCTTGCTTAAGGACTGGTGCATTTTTAGGAGGCCGGAAGCTCATGTGAGCCAAAGGAAATGGGGTGTCTGTGGCTGGGTGCTGGAAGGAACAACTGCAGCCACTGTTGAAGGAAAACCAGTGGGGAGGGATAGGAGGGACGAATGAGGAACGGAAGACGTGAGGCTGGGCAGTGAAGAGTGCGGGCAGAAACCACGGCAGCTGCAACAAGGGACAGTGATGACGGATTAAAATGAAGAGGCGAAATCTGAGTGGTAGTAGTTGATTGCGACTGGACACAAGGATCTGGTGGACGCGTTGGGGGAACTTGGAAGGTGTCGGTGCACCTGTGGGCACCACCTTGCCGAGCCTTCCATTTCCTTTACTTCTGCATATTCCTGCTCATAATCAGGCATACTTAGAGGCAATGAGAACAAAGAGACAACGTCTCGCTGCCTTTATTCAATCTGTCTCCTGTCCAGTGGGGCTTTTCAGGTTCAGTCAAGGCCTATTACATACTAGTCCCAAGAACACTGTAAACCCATCTGAGGTTAGTCATAACATACTTGATAGGCATTCCCAGGGGAAATGCCCTTGCATCTGCCAGTTTTTCAGTGGTTGAACCTGGGGAGGTTCCTAGAGCACAGTCTGGTTCAGTTCTATTCGATGAGTTTCAGTTGGTGCAGCTCAAGGATGTTGACAAAGTGCTTGGACAGGTCCATGCAACTGCCTCTTTCTAGATCCTTACCCCTCTTGGTTAATAAAAAGACAGCGGAGAGGGAACAGCCTGCTGGGCCTCTCTGAGAGAGCGTGTGCTCCTGTGTTGCCTGAAAAAGGCAGTGCTGAAGCCACTCCTTAAGCTCTCTCTGGACCCAAAGATCCTAACAACTTCAAGCCAGTGGCAAATGTTCCCTTCCTGGGCACGGTTCCCGAGTGCATGGTAGCCAGCCATCTCCTGGGATTCTTGGATGAGACTGGTTATCTCAGTCCATTTCAATCAGGGTTTTGGCGTGGAAGCAGCTTTGCTTGCCTTGTATGATGGCTTGTGTCAGGAGGGAGATACTTCTTCTCAGTGGCTTTCGTTACCACTGGCCATGGTGTCCTCCTGGAGCGATTGTCTGAGTTGGGAGTCGACAATAGCAAATAGCAGTGGCTCCACTTCTAACTGGTTGGCTGGCTCCAGAGAGTAGTGCTTGGGGAATAATGCTTGGCCTTGTGAATTCTCCAGGATGGGGTTCCTCGGGGGTCAGTCTTATCCCCCATACTGTTTAACAGCGACACTAAAACTTCTGAGTGGGTTCATCTGGAGTTTTGAATTGTGCTGTCACCAGAATGCTGATGACATTCATTTCTATCTTGCCTTTTCGTCTTTATCAGGTGAGGCTGTGGATGTGCTAAACTGGTATCTGGCTGTGTTGATGGACTATATGAGGGTTGATAAACTGAAGCTCAGTCCAGATAAACTCAATCCCAATGTTGGTGGGTGGTCCCTCTGACTGGGTGGTGGGTGTTCATCCTGTTCTGGATGGGGCTGCACTCCCTCTGAAGGAGCAGGTTCATATCTTGGAAGTGCTGCTTGAGCCATCTTTGACTCTTGAAGCTCAGGTGGCCTCAGTGGCACAGAGTTTAAAAAAACACATTTTTAATGGAAATGTTTTTGGTGTTAAGATGATTTAGATTTTTGTAGATGGAATTTTTGGCTGTTTTAAATGTGTACACTGGAATTATATGCTGTGTTTTATTGTATTGTGCTTTTTGATTGATTGATGGGAACCACTACTGGGCAGTATGGAAATGAAATAAGTACTTGTAGCTCCAGTCACACAATTCAAATGCATCTTGCATTCACTGTTTTCTGTAAGGTAATGCACAATCACATCTGATAAAACCCATTCATGTTTACAGAAGTATTCAGGGATGGCAGAAAAGTTTCATCTCCATTCCTCCTCAGTTTATCTTCACTGGATGGAAGTGCTGAAGGGTTCGTAATTTTTGTTGACAGTTCATCCTGATGCTTATCTGTGAAAGATTTGGCAGCATTTCTGAACCCTCTGGGAAAGTGTGTTAAAATAGAAATGTTTTATTGCTTGTTGTTTTGAAGCACAGAGGTTAATAAACATGAAGTGAGAATGGACACTGTTCTTAACCCATAAACTTCCTGGGAAGAGTGGGGAAAAGCACAGGGGCCAGCTGCTTGGCACCTTCCACTGCTGCTCTCCATGCCTGATCCTCACTGTTGATCTATCAGACCATGTGACTGTGTATCTTCTCACTTCTTACAGGCCCTTTCCATGATTCTATGATTCTGCTCCCTCCTTTCCCTTTAATTATAGTATTTCTGCGATGCAACTCTATAAATTATTAGGAGAACAGATAGTTTTGCTGTCATTTCCAGAGCAGTTCTTGCCCAGTCCCTTTTCTCCTGCAAGCCTAATTCACTTTGTATGGAAGGAATGTGCATGTTTCTTCTAATGGATCTTATCTCATCTACACAAATGCTCTGCTGAAATCCTTCAATAAGCTCTCTGGAAATTAGACAGGTTTGGGAGGAAGAGACTGGCTTTATACAGTATTGCAGCCAGTGATATTGGGCTGGAATGTACATATTTTCTGTTACCCATTCTGGTAAGCAGTAAAATATTGCAAGGCTTAGCTTTCTTTAATGAGACGTACAAAACTGAACATGACTTTGTGTAAAGGGGTGAAATTTTACTTGAAAGATGCCACAAAATCAGGGCTCTAGCAGAAATCCATTATCAAATGCCCTGAGGAGCTCTACCCAGAGCAAAGTCTTACTGGGCCAGTGTTACTCAGCTGGCACAAGTCAAGCAGTATCATTTTCCTGCTTCAGAGAAGAGACCCTGGGCTCCCATTCCTGCATTTGATGGTTATCACAAGGAATGCCTGTTGTATCCTATTTTCCCACAACCACTGCTTACCTAAAACTGCAACTATTATGTATGTAGTGTAATTGATGTATGCGGTACTTTACAGAGCAACCTGAGCAGATGTAACTTTGTAAGCGGCCAGCTTGGGTATCACTTGGGAACTGCTCTAAGCTTCTTAGAGAAAGAGCAGAGTATAAAAGTAACTCAGTAAATTAAAGGTAGTATTGCAAAGAGATTACAGTCTGGATTTTGCTGTGCGGCAGATAACGGGAGAAGGACAAGTGTGTTTGTACTAGACTGTAGCTTTGAAATAGAAAACACCGTGAATGGGAATGGAATGGCTCCAGGTGCTATAAACTGGCACCGCCATACTCCTGCATGCTTCTTGTAGTTGACTGAAAATTATTGTGCTGGAAAGTGACATAGGATGTACTTAGATCTGTACTCTGCACAATGTTACCTTTTGAAGATGACAGACTAGCACTGCCTTCTCCCTGGAAGCTTGGGAACACTTACGTGTAATCCCGGAAGCTGTTGTGTTCTCTGCAGAGAGAGACAACATCATTTGATGACCAAAGCAGCTCAGCTTTCAAATTAAGCCCCTGTAGGAAGCAGGAAAACCCTTTTGCTGCAGGTGGAGGTTTGTTTTTGCTCCTGAGTAGCAGTAAGCTGAAAGTGGTTTCCTTAGCCAAGCCATGGAACTTATCTGAGCCTTGGAGTTCATAGACTAGTTTAGGAATTGCGTGGCTTCCTGGAACCTTGAAAAATCAAATAAACCAATAAACAGCAGATGCCCTTTGGGACAGTCTGTAGAGCTTCCTGTGAACAGTGCCTTGTGTCTAAGGCTTGGTTGGAAGATAGAAGCCGTGTTATGTTGGATGTGCACATTTTAACTTGAAAATTCAGAATGCAGTTTGTCTGCTCTACAGCAATTGAATGCATTTCTTGTTCAACGGAACTCAAAAACTGTGAACAGCTTTAGGTGGCTTTTAGAGCTGCTCAGAACAAAAATGCTTGATCTGTGATGCAATATGGCAGCATTAGATAATTTTAAACGCTCTGTTTAGCTTTCCATCCAGAATAGAAACCATTGGGGCCAAAGGTTTTTCTTATGACCTTAATATTTGCTTGTTTATTTTAATGGATGGTGTTTGTGTGGGCATGGACTGTTACGTGCCAGCAGGCAGGGTAAGATTCCATAGTTCAGATTCCACGTATACACCAAAACTCAAAAATCAAGGAGCTGTCTAGGTTGTAAATTCCTTCAGTAACAGGAAGCAAAGGTTTCAGGAATTCTAAACACTGAAGAAGAATGGGGAGAATTTTCTTTTTCATAACATAAGAATGTACTAATTCAGTCCCCCGTATTGCATAGTAAATGTCTAGTGATCAGGGACTGAAAGGTTATATCCAAACTAAGAGCACAGAGTTCAGACAAAAAAAGTCCTACGACTCCCAGCATTCTCTAGTCTGCTGTGCTGGTTGGGAAATGCTGGGAATTGTAGGATTTTGTCTGATCGCACACAGGATTGCACCCTAAGCAAGTCATGCTTTCGTCTACCTGAACTCAATCTATCTTAAGTTAGTCATGAGCAGTTTATTCCATTGATTTGATTTGACTAGAGCGTAACTCATGTAGACTAGATCCAACCTCATGTCTTTTTTGCTGAGGTAGACAGCAGATGTACTGGGAATCAGCAAATTCATAAACCAGACAGAAAGCTATGAAATCCAACATTGTGTGTTACCTTCCAGGGGTACCAGAAGATGCACCTGCAACAGTGGTTCAGTAGGAGTGAAGATTGTGAATGAAATCCAGCAAGTACCACACTGCTTCTCCCTTTGCATTGTGAAAGACTTCCTGTAGCCTTTGCGAGAGGAAGTCAGGAGAGAAGGGCTGCTTGTCATCATGAAGCTGAAACAACGGGTGGTGCTTCTGGCAATCCTTCTTGTTATCTTCATTTTCACCAAGGTTTTCCTCATAGACAACCTGGACACATCGGCAGCTAACCGCGAGGACCAGCGTGCTTTTCACCGTATGATGGCAAGCTTGCGGGTGGAACTAGATCCACGCCTTGACCACACCCTGCAGTCGCCCTGGGAGATTGCGGCCCAGTGGGTGGTGCCGCGTGAAGTGTATCCAGAGGAGACGCCAGAACTGGGGGCAGTAATGCATGCCATGGCCACAAAGAAGATCATCAAAGCAGATGTGGGATATAAGGGCACCCAGCTCAAGGCGCTGCTCATCCTGGAAGGCGGACAGAAGGTAGTCTTCAAACCGAAGAGGTAAAATTGAAGATTGGATAAAATTATATTAGTTTTCCCCTTGTCAACTTATTTATTTAAAACATTTCTATGCCGCCCCCATCGCAACAAAGCCTCGGGGCGGCTCACAAAAAATACATAAAAACATACATTAATAATAATAATATAATTTAAAAGAAAAAAACATTAAAAAAACCCCGGTGCATTCTCGGCTAATTTTAAAATCCTAATTAATTCAATAATTTAGCAATTAAAATAAGTTTTAAATAAAAAGGTCTTAGCCTGGCGCCAAAAAACAAATAACGACGGCGCCAGACAGACCTCTCTGGGGAGCGCATTCCATAGATGGGGCGCCACCGCAGAGAAAGCCCTCCTCCGGGTACTCACCCTCCTAATATCATTCACAGAGGGTTCCCGGAGAAGGGCATCTGTTGCTGATCTCAAGGGGCGGGAGGGCATATATGGGCGCAAGCATTCCTTTAGATATCCAGGTCCCAAGCCATTCAGGGCTTTATAGGTCATAACCAACACCTTGAATTGGGCCCGGACTTCAATCGGAAGCCAGTGGAGCTGACGGAGAACTGGGGTTATATGAGAATAACACCCAGTCCCCATCAGCAACCTGGCAGCTCTATTCTGCACGAATTGAAGTATCCGGACCATCTTCAAGGGTAGCCCCACGTAGAGCGCATTACAGAAATCTAATCGGGAAGTTACCAGCGCGTGTGTCACTGTCGCCAGGCAGTCATTCTCCAGGAAGGGACGCAGCTGATGTATCAGCCAAAGCTGAAGGAAGTTACTCCTCGCCACCGCCGTCACCTGAGCTTCTAGAGAGAGCTCAGGGTCAAGGAGCACTCCTAAGCTGCGAACCCTGTCCCTCAGAGGGAGTGCAACCCCATTTAGGACAAGGCCCAAGTCCCCCATCCCGAGGCCCGAGCCACCCACCAACAGGACCTCCGTCTTGTCTGGATTGAGCTTCAGTTTATTGGCCCTCATCCAGCCCATTACCTCGGCCAGGCACCAGTTCAGCACAGCCACTGCCTCACCTGGATCGGTTGAAAAAGAGAGGTAGAGCTGGGTATCATCAGCATACTGATGATTCCGCAGCCCACACCTCCTGATGACCTCTCCCAGCGGTTTCATGTAGATGTTAAATAGCAAAGGGGACAAAATGGACCCCTGCAGAATTCCATGGCATAACTGCCATGGCGCAGAGCCATAGTCTCCCAGCACCGTCTTCTGGAATCGGCCATTGAGATAGGAGCGGAACCACTGCAAAGCAGTGCCTCCGACCCCCAATCCCGCTAGCCTATCCAGGAGGATACCATGGTCGATGGTATCGAAAGCCGCTGAGAGGTCCAGGAGAACTTAATAGCCTGCACTTGGACTCCCCAGAGAGGATTACCTTACCAGCATTCCCCAGTGAGGAATGAAGACAGAATTGGGGATATGGGCAGCTACTTGTTTACCTCGTACAACTGCACATGTAAGAATGGTGGGAAAGGGACCTGAAGTGCTACTGGAGTCGTCTGAGAAGCAGCCACAAGAAAGCAAGTCCCTTACTGCTGCTTCTAAGTGAGAATCAGCTCTGTGTCTCTTGAGCGGTCTACGTAGCTAGATCATCCAGTTGCTGACAGTTCTGTTGGTCATCTCCCTTGCACATATGGCCATATGAACAGTTGCAAGGAGATATGACCCAGAAGTGAATTGCTCAAAATTACTTTCTTCTCAATACGTTACCTTGGGATGTTGTAAAATTCAGCAGAATGTCTTGTTTCTATCTTTTGTCCTGATGTTTAGGTATGCCAGAGACTATGTGGTAGAAGGGGAGCCTTATGCTGGATATGACAGGCACAATGCAGAGGTGGCAGCCTTCCATCTGGACAGGTACAGAAATGTGGAATTAAAAGGCATTCTTGGGGATGAGAAAGAGGCCTCTTAACCTGCTTTAAAAATATTTTTTTAAAAATACCTTGACTAATATTGTGAGGAAATATTGGCTTCCTGCTACAGAGCTAACTCAATCTCACTGTTTTCTGGTTTTATTTATATTACAGCAGTTCCAGGCCATCATATTTTCATATTGCATTGAATTTTTGAATATGGGTTTCAGTAGGGCCAGATTACAGCAGCTCATATAGGCTGGTTGCATATGGGAATAAAGTTTGCTTCCTGCCGATCAGGCCTCTACTGAGGATAGAAATGGTTAACTTGGGTATATTTAGGCAGGTAGGGTATTATAAAGAAAGCAGATGCATTACTTTTGTGGATTTGCTTGTAAAACTGTATGAAAGCAGTAAAATACTGAGGCATGCTCTGAAGGCAAATTATCCAGCTACTTTCTTGAAGTACATTGGAGTCTGATCAATATGCAGATGGGGGACCATGTGCAAATCCCATGTATGCTGCCTTGACTTCCATAGTAGACCAAAAGTGGAATATAAATATACTAAAGAAAGAAAATATCACCTTGTCCTGTCTTAAGTGGCTTTGTTCCTGGATGAGCCAAGGTGTAGGTGTTCCTTCTTGGAGATGAAGCTAAAGCCACACTCTCAGAATGAAAGCATGCCTCACGCGTGGTTCGAGAAGCACTTACTCAGCTCGGGCCCAGCCCACCCAGCCTCCCCATGCTTGGGCGCAGCTGCTGAACAATTTGTTTTGAGGCTCAAGCCAGTAATCCACTCCTCCTTAATAGCTTGCGAAATGCCAAGTCCACCTTCACTTTGTGCCTGCTCTGCTTAGTGAGCTCCCTCCAATTTATGTAATGTGCCTGGTAGCCCAATTTAGGACATTCTCACATAATTCAGATACGATCTGTACATACTTAATCTCTAGTCTAAGTGTTTTAATTTATCGGGGCTTCTTCTTCAAATATGAAATGGTGTGGGGGGGGGCGTGACCATAGTGCTCATTCGCATGTCTTATTTTGTTCTTGTCGTTTTCCTTTAAATAGAATCTTGGGTTTCCGACGAGCCCCCATGGTGGTTGGCAGGTTTGTGAATCTCCGCACAGAGATCAAACCGGTTGCCACGGAACAGCTGCTTAGTACCTTCCTGACATTAGGTAGGTGACAAAGCAAATGTCCCGAAGGCCACTAAAATAACATTGAATCGAAGCTTTCAGAAATCGGTCATTGACTGCCTGGAGAACATGGCAACTGACGGTATGCTTCTGGATTCCTACCATGGAGGAGAAGAAAGATCGCATCTGCTTTGGCACTCACTTCAAAGATTGCACTATGGGGAGGATTTTTATCTGACACTGAATATTTTTTTCTGTTGAGAAGCAGTCTTGGCCATTTTATTTCTTTCTCTGTTAACTGGGACAGCTGTGTAGCTAGGCTGTGCCCAAATCCTTCAGCAGTAATTTCAACATTATTTTGAAGCAGCGATTCATTTTTAAAACCATAATTCTCCAAGTAGTTAAAGTGAAGGTCTGCCTCATACCCTGAGACCACTGGCCTTGTATAGGAAAATATGCCTACAAAATGCAGTAATGTATATACTTCAAAGAAAATGTTAGTCTTTGTATTCAGCAAGGCTTTAAGTTCATCAGGAATGAGAAAACATTCTGTTACTTGCTTGGAGCCTTTTTCCAGAATATTGGGAGGAAAGCTGGGTTTTCTTTTGAGCAAGAGAAAACAGTTTAATCTGTAGTGAAGCCCTATACGAGACTACTCAGAGTAAGTTCCCTGGAATTCCATGAAGCATACTTCCAGGTAACTAGTACAGGCTTACAACTTTAAAGCTCAAATCCTTTCTCCCAGAAAGATTCTGAATCACTCTCAACATTTAAAATGCTAATATCAAGTTGACATGAGATGGCATTTTTGTTTGTTTTTGCTTGCTTCCAAGGTAATAATACTTGTTTCTATGGGAAGTGCTACTATTGCCGGGAAACAGAACCAGCCTGTGCTGAAGGAGACACCATGGAGGGATCGGTCACCCTGTGGCTGCCGGACGTTTGGCCTCTTCAGAAGCATCGGCACCCGTGGGGAAGGACATACAGGGAAGGCAAACTGGCCAGGTATGGGGCTCAACAAGGTGTTTTCCTCTTTGCTCTGCTTTTGGCCCATGCAGGGAATGGGCACTCATTACCGATGCAGTGGGGAATACCAGTCATTTTTTCTGAAACTCCTCTCATAGCTATAGACTTCTGACATGATATTTTACATGTGCGTGGCAGTGCTAGAACACGAAGGCTTATCAGGTGGAAAGCAGGGTGGTGACTGACAAGACCGTACAGTGGACAAAGTGTGCCTGAAAGCAGGGCTGTGAAGGGTCTCAAGAGACAATTGGGAATGAAGTCCCACATGGTTGTCCCGGAAGTTCCTGATCTGTGCTTTTAAGAGCAAATAATGTTATTTCTAGTCCATTTCTACATTAATCTGTGATTTTTAAAAATGCATAAAAATTGAGACTCTTTTATCTCAAAACTTAAGCTTTGTAAGTTTCCAGGAAGTATAACTTGGATTTGTCTGTCTTTCCATTTTTTAAAGATCAAATTCCTCAAGTACCTATTCCACATCCATTCCTGGATTGAGTCATTGATTATAATCCCTTTGATCTTTCATTGTTCCATTTGTAAATGTTCAATCTGTCCATCTCCATTCTCAAAAGCAACCTGGAATCTTCTCTTGTCCCCAGATTCCTGCCTCTTGTTCTAGGGTTGTGGTTGAAAGCCACAGATAGTGCTTTTGATCATGATTTGGAGTTTCAGGATTCATGATTGCAGGCCTCCAGATAGCGCCCCTGTGGTGTTCTCTTGCCCTTTCTCCCCAAGAGTCTAATGCTGGGTTCAGAACATTGGCATTACATGGCATTTTAGGCAAAATAAGAGGACACATCTGCATTTTGTGGATTTGTGTGAGATTATTAAGAGACCAGGATCTGATTTGTCCAGGATAATAGGGTGCACGAAATTAAGAAATCAGATCGTAATGGGGCTGTAGGAAATGGGCAAGCCATTAAGTCGAGATGACTGGTCCGCCTAATATGGTGGATGAACAGTGGGTTGAAATATTCTGCCGTCTGTTGCTCTGAGTATTTGCCAGATAGGTTTTGAGACCATTGTGTGGTATGTCTTTCCATAGATAATCAAGAGGCAGGCACAGGTCTGCATGTAGCAGCTCAGAAGTGATAAGGCTCTGATCTTTTTAAATGATGCCAGCCTTGGAAATCTGGGGAGCCTTGATGCAGGTTCCTCGTGTATGCTTGCAGGTGGGAATACGATGAGAGCTACTGTGAAGCTGTGAAGAAGACCTCGCCCTACGACTCAGGCCCACGGCTGCTCGACATAATAGATACGGCCATCTTTGATTATTTAATTGGAAATGCTGACCGACATCATTACGAAAGCTTTCAGGATGATGAAGGGGCCAGCATGCTTATTCTGCTGGACAATGCCAAAAGGTGCCAACCCTCTTGATAAAGCGACAACTGTGAGATTGTGGCTGGTTACGCTTGGGCTCTTTCCAGTGGTGTTATGCTTACCAAGATGGAAGAGTAACAGCTGAAGTTTGCAAGCCATTCAGCATGGCTTGTTCATGTGAAAGCATGTCATTTGCTTCAGTTTGTGGGTTGATTCAAACGCTGTAAGCGCATGCTTGGATGATTGGGGAGAGGTGTCACATTCTGAAAGATTCACCTGATTTCTCTCTCTCTCTCCATAGCTTTGGGAATCCTTCCCTAGATGAGAGAAGCATTCTTGCACCTCTTTATCAATGCTGCATGTGAGTATAGAGAAAGGAAGCTATTGATCTCATCAGTATACAGCCAGCAAATCTTAGAAATAAATTGCTAGTGAGTAAATACCACCCCCACCTCCAGCATCCTGGACATGTGCATGTCTGGCCGTTAATCCAGTGTTAATTTGACAGCTGTTCTATACAAAGGCATTTATGCGCAGCAGTATCGAAATCAAGGGTCTGAAAGGTTCTGGAGTTTCTGTTTGGACAGAGATCCTGGATGCATGTGAAATTTATCACATGGTCTGACCCAGCGTGGCTCTTCATGTTCCTCCAGAGCGAACTCTATGATCTCTGCTGGCTTCTGGGGTTCACCAGAGTCTAGCAGACACCCAGCTGCTTTTTGGATGATGGCAATAGAAAGGGTGGGGGGGGGAGGCCCAGCAGATGTTGTGGACTGCAACTCCGCTCATCCCTAGCCAGCACAGCCAATGGTAAGGGATAATGGGAACTGCAATCCAACAGATCTCTGGAGGGCACAGATACCCCATCCCTGATCTAGGATTAACTGGAGAGCTTGTGTGACATTGTGGCTAAGACTGAGCTGTAAAAACTGTACAGGCCCCGATTGAAATCGCACTTTTCCATGATCTCTGTAGGCAGGTCTCACCCTCAGTAGCCGTACTTCCAGCCTGCTCCAAGGGCGCTCTGAATACTCTTTATACCCGAATAGAATCGGACAGCAGTCTCAGAGTCCTAAATACCTTAAATGGTCTGGCCGTACATTTCAGAACCTGCAGATGCTGCCTGCAAGAGGCTGCAGTATCCTGCACTGTGTATGACTCCTGGCCTTTTTCTCGTTCCCCCAGGCCCTACCGCTTCCTCTCACTGCTTACTTAGTCTGCCACTTTCCTCATGACCCTGACAGTCCTCCTTCCTAAGAAAAACATCCCACTGTACAAAAACACACTTGTGCTTTCTGGTTGACCACATGCCTCATAAATATGTCGCGATGACTTGCATAATCCATTTTTGCATATTATATATGTATATATCATATTCATATCCTGCCTTTTCTGCAAGAAGGATTTTCTTTTCTCAGCTTTCCAATAAGATTAGGCTAGGCTGAGAAATTGTGACAGGCGTGTGGTCGTGCGGTAAGCTTTGTGAACCCGGGCTGTCCCACTTCTCTGTTTGAACTGATCTGGCAAGAATAGGAACCGTTCTGTTCGTACTTCAACTTGGACCAGAAGAATCACTTTCCTGCGACAAACCCAAATGTGTCAACACGATGTCCGTCATCCTGGTGTCTGTAGCGCAGGTGTGGATTTGTCACCTGTGCTTTCTTTTCTTTCTCAGCGTCCGCGTCTCCACTTGGAACAGGCTGAACTACTTGAAGAACGGCGTGCTGAAGTCTGCCTTAAAAACTGCCATGTCACATGACCCCATCTCACCTGTGCTGTCTGCCCCTCATATGGATGCCCTGGACCAGCGACTCCTAAACATCCTGGCTACTGTAAAACAATGTACAGACCAGTTTGGACCAGACATTGTGCTGGTGGAAGACAGGATGACACTTTCCCATTTGTAGCTTTAACCGTTGGTTGGGATTCTTTCATTCCTTTTCCCCCTTTCGTTTTTTATACAAATAAACAAACAATAGAAAAACAGCACAATTGGTTCTGCGAGGCTGCAAGCAGGATGGACTGGAATAAGAGGAGAAAATAGCAGCGGTTTGAAAGCCCAGCTGAAATCAAGGAACTTGCCCTCCGGTAGACCTGTATCGTTTTTGGATGTCCATTGCTGGCAGTGGATGTTGCGTTGGGAGCTCTCCTGGGATTCCTTGAGAAGAAATGGGAACTGGGCACCAACACAAACTGGTTCTAGGGAACAGTGGTAGTCCCCTCACCAGTCCCAAATATAATCTTAGTCCAGTTCCAGGTTTTAAAGAACAGGCTGTCCTGGCATTCGTGCCGTCTGCCTAAAAAGAGAGCAGCGAGTCGAATGCGACTGTTAAAGAGAAGGCGCTCCTGCAACACGCATGCACCCCCCCCATCCACCCCCCAGCCATCTTTGGCTGGAACTTTCTCAAGAGCTCTGTGGAGAAAAAAAGTTCAGCTGAACCCTTCAGTGCCAACATTTAAGGAGAAGGGCTGTTTAATTTCCTTGTTGAAAGCAATACATCATCGGCAAGGCTGAACGATGACAAACAGGCCCAGCCAGTCATCAAGATTAGAGTATTTGCAGTCGTGGCTGTGTCCCTACATGCAAGAGTCCTTCCTGCCTTGATTTAAATGCCATTCCATTAATACTGAATTCTTTAAAAAACAAAACAAAACCCACGCACACACTAAGCAGTACACTACAATTGAACAGGATTCTTATTTTAAACAGAGGGGAAGGAGTGAGCCCCTTTGTTATATCCTCTCAGTATTGACAGCCTTTCCTGAGACAAATGGGGTTTGTTGCTGAACTTTGCCAATAATTTAAAAGATGGATGCTACCAAGGGCGTGGAAATGTTTCTGATCGGTGTGTCATTTCTTCTGTAACGCAGTCATAGGTGCCACACTGTCATTTCTTAGGGCTGGGCTGAACTTAACAAGCATCTTCAGTATGCTTTTTCTAATTGGCAGATACTTTCTCCTTTTAAATTCAAGTTGTGATCTGCTGGCTTTGTGACCATAAACCTGCAATTGTGTTTCTAAGCTTGAGGATGTTTCTGGTGTGTCCCTATTTCAAAAGGTAAAGCTGCTCTCCCTCCACTATATTTAAGAGAGATTGTTGAAGCGAATTCTGTGTGTTAAGTCTGACATGGAGTAGTGTAGTGATCTGTGATAAGAGTGATGCTTCTGGGAAGCCATTCAAGAGAAACTTAAAGATGGGGTCTAAACATCGCCTCTCTAGCTGGGCGGGGGGGGGGGTCATTAGTTTGGGCAAATGATGTAGCATCCTCCTACGGTATTTTTTGTGAGCCGCCCTGAGGCTTTGTTGCGATGGGGGCAGCATAGAAATGTTTTAAATTAAATAAATAAATACAGAAATAGACCTGGCCAAGCCTTGGAGCACAAGCATTTTATGGCTCTATTTCAATGATTTCCCCCCACCCCCAGAGCATTTTCGGGCTTGTGTTCTCCATCTATGCCAGTAATTGTGTTACTGATGTAAACAACAGTAGCTTGAAGTCTTGACTTGAGCAAGTGATCCAGTGGAACAAAGAACTTTTAGAAATTAATTGGTTTCTGATGCAGCTTCAGCTAAAATACATTGAGTTGCAATAAGGTATAATAGTTGATATTTGGTTCCTCAAGGGTTGTTGCTACAATGGAAATTTAACTTGAAGCTAGGATCAGCTCAAGTGGTTAAGTTACATTCTTTGGTCACATGAAAAGCCTGCTCTTAGAAGTAATGTTGCATCCAGAAGTGGATGCTGGTGGGGAACCCTGTTACAACTTAGTTGCAATTCTTGAGACATCTCTCATGTTCCCCTTATCCTTACACAGGTAGCTGCATGCCAGTATGAGGCCATCTGATCCAAGTTGGTTAAAAGAGGTTAATTTCAGTAATGGACATAGAAGTAGCTTTGAAACACTGAGGTATTTGAAAGAGGTGCCTCAGTCTGAATTGGCAAGAAGGCTAAAAGAAACCATATAAGCTTCTATTTTGGCATCTAACGAACTGGAACTGTCAATTAAAAAAAAGAAAGAAACTAATTTATTTAAGAAGGCAACTTATTTGTGTGGCAGCTGAAGCAGAATGCTCAGCCATTACACCTTTTCTTGGAACTGCTAAGGTTGCCCTGGGGAACAGCTGCAAATGGAAGCTGTCAGGAGAAGAGCAAACGCAATGTAATCTCAACCATGTTCTGTGTTTCCCCAGGGTCAAACTCTGCATAAATAAGTATTCAGTGAATAAAGGTTTTAATAAAACGAGAGTGGGTTTGTTATTTCTATTTTTAACTAGCAGCGCGTTCATTTCATTGTCTCAACAAAACCTTTACATTCTTGGGATAGAGATGGACAACCTAGGCGCTTTATAGGCGTAGTGCAACTCCCTCTCAAATTTGCTTGAATGCCACGGGAACAGACCGTCTGGTCCCTCGCACACTAGTGTGGGCCAGTTCCTGGGAAGAATTAAGCTGGCAAGAAAAATGCTTGCGAACCTTAAGGCCTGAACTGAAAACCTCGGACTCTGGTGGGATCCTGGCTAGTGAACCATTGTGGTACTGTGCTCAGAGCCCACTTTGGGCATGGAAGAAAGTAGGATCCATAGCAGGCTATGTGCATTCGATGAGGCTACAGTGGAGAAAAAGAAGGTAAACGCAGCCACTCCATCAACCCTGTTGAGGGAACTGCCCCTTGTTTTCACCCCCCTCCTCCCCAATTTGTTTCCATTCCAGCAGGAAGCTCTGTAAGAACGCTGATTTTAAGAACTCTGATTTCCTCCCCCACGCCCTCCGTATGCAGTATTTTCGATTGCATGTCTGTGGGCAGGAACGGGCACACGTTCATGCATGCATATGTGTGTTTTGATTGTTAATAGGTGAGAGATCCCTTTTGCCTGAAGAGTATACATATTAAATATGAGACCTGCTTTAATAGTACAAGTCTATTTCTGGGATCCAGAGCTCAAGACCCTGCAGACAGGAGTTTGGCTTTGGCTTCCCATGACCTGCCTCCTTCCTTGTGACCCCAAATGTCTAGTGTTATACAGGACAGGAAGCACTTGCCCTGCAGTCACTCGTGTGCAGTCAACACATCATCATCTGAGAAGTGTCTCGTTGGAAATGGAACAATCTGTGTGGAGCGGCATCAGCAGGAGCAGTTGGTTGCAGCTTGACCTTCCTGTGTCCACGCAAATGACAGGATGCTGCCTGTTGAAATATCTTGCAAAGTCTGCATCAGGATGCATTCCCCAAGCGCTCTTTAGGGCTACATTAATTTCCCAGCTTTAGCCAAGAGTGACAGAAGGATTTCTGCTTATGTTGCATTTTCTGACAATGAATGAACTACTAAAAGGGAGGTAAAGGGTAGTTCCTGGCAGGTGCTTCCAAAGGATAAATTATTGACTTGTCAAGAGGGCAAGCTGTACTGTGGCATGGCAGTGCCTGACCCTAAAGGGAAAATGATAATCAAACTAGTCTGTGTACACATTGTCTTTTTACTGAGATTAATCACAGTAACGCATTATTTCCTGAGCATTTGGGATACTTCAGAATTCACCTGGAAGTAAACTGAACTCAGCTTTCATTGAACAGAAATGTATAGGATCACCCTGTTGGTGCAATGCTATTTCTGTAGCCATGAAGCCTAGATACTATTTTTAAAATCCTTGGCGCTCTCATAATACTGCAATTATACAGCTCATGTCTAAGCATTCACGGTTGTGAAACACCAATTCATTTTTAACAGGGCCACATTTTGAACTCAGCAAGGGCCAAAGGCCTGGCCGCATCCATGAATTTGCTCCCCTTTGAGCTGTGCTACAGGCTAAAGGGCTCTTGAGCCCCTCTTCCAGGTGCGTGTCTTTGGCAGAGACTTCCCAGCAGAAGATCAATTGCTGGGGAAGTGTCCCCTCCTGCTGGTGGGCTTCGTGGAGGTCTCTGGTTTGGGCATGGTGAGAAACAGGAAGTTTAACCGGTCCAATCCATTGATTGTTGTATTCTGTGCTGATCACATAACATTTGTTCTGTGATTTGCTGTGGAAATGAGCAGTTCAAGGGGCTGAAAGGAAGACAGTGCCCAACCAGATCACTGGAGGGGAAAAGAACAATTTCCCTGTTTCTGGCTGCTTTCATGTCCTCAAGTATGGTGCTCCCTCAGTTTGCACCCCATCTTTCCATCAAGAAATGGTGCTCAAAGCAGCCATGTAAAGAGGCCAGGCTGTTGAATGTCCCCATTTTCCTTAAGCTCCTCTCTGATGCTTTTTGCCCAGCTGGGCTCAATCTCAACTTTGGAGCCCAGCTTAGCTGGTGGAGGAAAATTACTCTTCCAGGACAGACTTGGTAGAAGAGGAAAATGCAGATGCCAACATGAATTTGTCAAGAATAAACCCTGCCATTTTTTATTGGGTAACCTCCTTGATAGACTGTGGGAATGCTGCAGACATAATTTACATTGACTTCAGCAAAGCTTTTGACAAAGAGCCCCAGGGTATCTCGATGAGCAAACTAGCTAAACTTGGGCTAGATGAACAACTCCCAGGTGGATCCACAGTTGGCGACAGAATTGGACTCATCACTGGCAGCTCCGCCAACTGGAGAGAGGTAATGAGTGGGGTACTGCAGGGCTCAGCCCCAGGCCCAATTCTTGGCAACATTTTTATTAATGATTTGGGTGAGGAAGTGCAGGGAAGGATTATCAGATTTGTAAATAACCCAAAACTAGGTGGGGTAGCTAATAGCCTGGAAGAGAAAAACAAGATTCAAAGTGATCTTGATAAGTTGGAGCACTAACTAATCAAGGGCGAAAACATTAGAATGAAATTCAGTAAGTACAAATGCCAAGTTTTGCACCTAAGAAAACAAAACCAAATGCATTGTTACAAGAGGGGGAATACTTGGTTCTACAATATTGCGATTCAGAAGGATCCTGGAATTGTTGCAGATCTCAGGCTGAATGTGAGTCAGACCTTGAAGTTTTGGGATTCCAAGCTGTGCAGGCTTAATTGATTGATTAAAACCAGCACTCTGAACATGACCCAGAAACGAAGTGGCAACCAAGGATTGGGGCACACTTGAATTTCAGGTCATCATTTTTAAGTGCTGCACATGGTCTTCAAAAGGAGCAGCTGGGATCTGTAACAAAGGAGCCAGCTCTCAGAATTGCCAGGAGCTCTTGTTTCTTAGGTTGTGGGTCATGGGCTTTGGGTGAAGAACAGTTGATGGGCCTTAGATGGGTTTGTTTTGAGTTATGCTGTATGAGAATTCCTGACCAGTTGCGGGGATGGGGTAGGGAATCTGGCATCTCTAAATTCCTCTGCCCACTATATATATATATATATATATACACACAAACAATTAAACTGTTGATAAGTGTGTCTTTCAAAAACCTGCTAACCAGATGAACTGCCCTCTACTTTTCAGGCTGTCCACAAGCTGGAAAGCTCATGAGAATTCCTAAACTCCTGGTTACTCCTCCTCTACTCTCTCACCTGCATTATAGAAAGGGCCTCCAGAGGGCATTGCTTTCTACTCAATGTTGGAAACACTTTGCAAATCCGTTTGATCTTTTCTATACCCGGCTGGGGGATTTTGCCTTCATTTCCAGAAAGATTTATTTTTCTCCAGTGCAAACACAGACGTAAACAAGTGTTTTCTGTTTCTCTTCGCAGGTCAGCTCCCTGCCAGGAACCGAAATTAGAACCATAGTGCTAAGAAACTGGCTGCTCCCGGTTTGGGCACGGCCATCCCAGTGAGCCACTTGCTCAGTGAGTTGACCCTCTCCTTGTCATTCCTCATCCTCTTCTTCACTGTGGGTGCCACTTGCTTCCTCCACAGGTGGAAGTCGGTCTCGGCACCCCCTGCTCCCGCTCCTCACCCCCTCGGCTGTCTGGGGGCTCTTGGAGCAAGGCCCTGCCTGTGCTTGGCACCGCCCTGGGAAGGAGCGTCACAGGTGAACGTCAAAAGCAGGGCTTTTGGTGCGTTTGATACTGAAGCTCAGCGAGTTGTTGGGAGGAGAAGGTTGGCGGCTTTGAGCACTTGCTCTGGAGGACAACTGGCTGGGCTTCCGTGGAATCGGAATCAGGATGTGAAGCAGGATGTGAAATGGGGGGGAGCCTGGGAATGTGGGCCATGCCGGGAGACGGAGAGCAGCAGGGCGCTCATCTCGAGGCAATACTCTCAGAAGAACCAGGAAGAACAGCTGGCGGGAGGGGACTTGGAGCCGGGGGAGCTTCCCCGATGCAGACCAAGCGGCCCTGGCTCTTGCTCCCATGAGGCGGCATCAGCAGAGGAGAGGGCCAGTGAGCTCATTTTCAGAAGGCCTCCCCTGAGAGGCTGGGGCCCTGGCACACTCTTAGCAGAGTTCTTGCAAGCGAGCACTTGACTGGGTTGAACAAACTGCTCTGTGCGTGCTCAGATTCATTCTGGGCGCTTTGTAGTTCTGGGTCCACGTTTTTCTTACCGTCATTCCTGCTGCTTTTTACTATGTGGCTCTGTGGCACGCCGCAGCCTTTATCCTCCGTGTTATCCTATGAACTTGTTTAATCTAGTGGCAAGAATGGACATTCAGGTGTCCGTGCCTGTCTGAAGAGAGCATCGAATGACACGTTCCAGGATTCCAACTCCCAATCACAGACGCTTGCACATCTTGCAGTGCGTATCAGCTGGGTTGTGGAAAGGCTATTCTGCATGTTATTTGCCAGGCATTCTGGGAAGCCATCTCTTCTGGCATTGTTATTTTTGAAGCTTTCTGGGAAGCCATCTCGTCTCTGAAGCTTTTCAAAATAATGATTACTACTCCTTTGTGAAACCTTCCTTAGCAAATAATCTGCCTTTTCCTTAGAAAGTGCATTTGAATTGTTAAAGTATGGATTGTCCACTGCCTCACGTGAAGGTTTCTCAGATGCGTATACTTCTGAAGGGCACCTGACAACGTACTCCAACTTTTCTATTACTCAGCTCTGGTCTTTCTTTTGTAGGAAGCCATGTCAGCCAGTATGAACTTAGTAGAAACCTTGCTGCATGGTTAAACCTTACTGATTCGTGTTCCTTGTTCCGGAGCAATTTGCCGGAGGTCCGTCAGCTCCTTCATTAGCCTCCCAAAGATCTGGGTGAGTTGTCCCTGCAGCTCCAGTGGCTGGGATACGCTTCTCTCCAAATGCATTAGGGCTGTTTTCTGCTTTCTTGCATTTGACCCACCCCTCTCTCCCCCCTGTTTTTTAAAAACATGACCCCCCCCCCCCCCCCGAGACATCCGCCCTGAATCACATCCA